CTTTAGGTCCACTAAGTGCACATAGCACTCCCCCTGTCCACAACACCTTTACTTAGACCTTCAAAAGCTCTCACAGCTAACTTAATATAATAAAAAGGTGTCAACACACTAAGTACATCATATACAAGCTGTTACAAATGATAAGAGTCCAAACACAACTTTAAGATGTAATACAAATAAAACCCTAGCCTTTAAATACATTTTTCGTAATTGACGCTAAATGGATTTAGGTGTCAAATAGGAATAACAGAATTCCGCTTAACATGGTTAGATCTATGATCAGTTTAGCGTTAATGATATCAATGCGCATTATGAACTGCATTCCATCTTAGTCTATCTCAAGGATATCTTTTGAGCTATGTTTTTAACTAAATCTTAATTTGAATCACATGCACATATGGGGTAGTCTTGCACATTTACGCTTGATATGGATAAGTAAGTTGGAAGCAGATCATATGCATGATAGATTTGATAGCTACTCTAAGGGCACTAGGATGAATTATTTTATGATCTCAATGATAAAAGTTGATTGTTTACACTTATTGTTTATCTATAGGAGGATCATATCATGAATCACATACCTAGTAGCATAATATTAGAGAATATGGTATGAGTACCAGATGTACCATATGTGAACACACTTATTATAGAGATTGAGAATAATATATGAATTCCCTATTGATGCGTCAGCATTATCTAGTACACAGATTCCTGCATCGGTACATTATTGTAGTGTTATCATCCAATCTGACAGAATCATGTTTTTAGGTGAGACCTTTTCGGATATCCCTGTTAAACATAAGTTGGACCCAGTAAGCTACACGGAAGCGTGAACCGATATGGATATAGACCATTTTGGCCAGTTGCTATGAAATCAGAGTTGGAATTTATGTATTCTAATAAAATCTAGGATCTTGTAAAACTTTCTAGTAGGGTGATACCTATGGAATGCAAGTTAATCTACGAAAGGATACCAGAAGATTTCTTAATGAATAAATCATGAGTGTACAAGGGAATGTCATTATTTTTCTAATTCTATATATATTGATGACATCCTATTCATTTAGAATGATATGGAAAGTTTTGTCATCAGTAAAGAGGTAGTTGTTCAATTATTTTGAAATGAAGGATTTTAAAGATGTAAGCTATATTCCTAGGATCAAGCTTTTGCAAGATCAGGTTAAAAGGAAAATAGGCTTATCTTAATAATCCTACATTGATAAAGTTTTGACCAGGTTTGGTATGCATAACTCAAAGAATGAGTTCTTGCTTTATTGATATGGATTGTTCTCTCTAGTAAGTAGTTTTCCAAGACTAGTAGAGGAGATTGAGCAAATGAGACTGGAACTATATGCTTTGGCATATGGGAGTCTCATATATGCCATAGTCTATACCAAACTGGACATCCGCTACATTGTAGGGATAGTCAGAAGATATCAGTCAAATCCTAAACTTGATAACTGGTCTGTTGTGAAAAATATCATTAAGTACCTTAGGAAAACCAATGATCTCATACTCATTTATGGATGTGATGATATGGTACTAGTCAGATATGCTAGTTCTGATTTTCAATCAGAATTAAATACTATGAGGTTCATGACTCAGTGTATATTCACTCAATGAAAGGGAAATCAGTCAGTAGATTGTTAAGCAGATTTCAACTGCTGACTCAAACTTACAGGTGGAGTACATTGCAGCCTTAAAGGTGGCAAAGGAAGCCTTTTAGTTTGGTCTCACCGATTTAGAGGTTGTGGAGCATACTAACCTACCTATTGAGCTATATTGCGATAATAGTGCAGAAGTAGTCCAAACCAATGACTCAAGGCTCTATAGAGGAACAAGGTACATTGAAAGGAAGTATCATGTCCTACATGATATTGTCCGGCAAGAAAATGTACTCATGGCTAGAACATTGCATTGGAACACAACTTTGTTGATCCATTAACAAAGGTGTCATCGATTAATAGTTTTGATTGTCATCTGGATAACATAAGAGTTAGATGCAATTTGAATTGGCTATGAGGGCAAGTGGGAGCTGTTGGGATTTATATGCCTTGGCATAGCAAATTCCTATTTGGATTACAGTGACATATGTTCCTGACGTTTCTGAAATATTTATGCTTTATACAATTGATGAATTCAATGTATTATGTTTCAATTCATTATTGAATTGATAGTGTTCATTTGATTACAAGAAATATTTATATATGTATGTGATGACAATCAATATATGAATATAAATAGTAATCATAAATTGTTCATAGTCGGTAATTATGGATGGACTCATGATTTATTAAGACTTGAACTGGATCCGCGTTAGGTTGAGATATATTGCGAGAGCCGTTGTATGCAATTGCTCCCTATCACCATCATGGCATTTGACTCTTAAGTATGAGAAAAGTATAAACTCTTTTATTAATTAATAATTACTTTAATTTGTTCGACAGATACTTCGGAATCCTTAGACCGACACTTTCGGTAGTTATGTAATTAATAGTTAGAGGGTTATATTTTCAAAATTTGCATAATTGCTACTTGTATTTATTTTGTATGGATTATGGTTGATCACAAAGTAAATTCGAAGGTCTTCGTGTGTTTTTAGACAAAATGATTTATTATATATTTATTTATTTAAATTATTATTTTTGTCAAACAAATGTTTTATTGTGATCAAGGTAGAAATAATCAATGGTACCAAATTAAATATATTAATTAAGTAGTCGGATTGATGGCTTTATTTATCCGATAACTAATTATGCATAGAGGGGTCAAAGTGCAACATTGACTTAGAGGTTATTTATTCTTTAATTAGAATTCAATTAATTTCTTTTAGTGGAGGAGAAATTAATTAATGAATTAATTAAATTGGGTCCATGGACTGGGCCGATTATTAATTCATTGTAGCAAAGAAAATAATAAGCCCAATGAGATTCTCACTCATAGCCCAACTTGATATTGGAATTCTATTAGATTTGAGATATGTAAATTAGAGATGGAGAATGATTTATTGTTTCATAATCTTATTTTTATATTACCTATATATACATGGGTTCATGTATATTTTAGGGGTGACTTTGGAAAAGAAAAAGGAATATATTTTTTCTCTCTCTAGATTTTTGGATTTGTTTTCTCATCTAATGGAGGCTCCCACAAGCCTACTTTTCCAAGGTCATTCATGAAGGATTATGGGTGATTCCTAAAGGCAAAACTATTATCTAGAAGATGGAGATCCAAGGAGAAGACATTTAGCAAAGGGATCTACAATAAGTGAGAACATTCACTTTAGAAGAGAGATCTAAGGTTTACTAAAACCTTTGATGAAAGTATTCAATCCATTAATTGAATGATACATCATATTTTATTTTTGCATAAAACTTGTCTCTATGTGATGAATCAAGATCTATGAATCAAAATCCCTCGGAAATTTTTTAAATTTGCACGTTTCCCAACAGTTAAATGATGCCGCCACCACCTACACCGTCCCGACGGCGATTAGAAACCCCACAACCAATCCTATGACTATTCATTGATTATGGCTTTGAAAGATAAAGCATTGGCTGATTCGTTCTTCGATTTGGGAATTTCGTTGTTGGAGTTAGGGTTTGATGAGTAATCGAGAGATGACTTTTGGTTTTGGTTATTTTACTTTTTATAAAGGGCTTTTAACTCTAATTAGCATTTCTCTTCTTCGTGAAGCCTTTGCCAAAGTATTTCTGTCAACAAACTTAACGTCATCATGTCGTTTCATCATCGGATTATTCTTATCACTGTCGTCGTCGTCTATTGTCGGTGTTCTCCAAGCTTCATCGCCGAATAGCGTTCTGGGATCTCTCGACGACTTTGAGAAAGGAGAGGTTGATGCCGTCGAGAAAGGAGAGGTCGATGTTGTCATTTAGAATGGTGGGTAGTGGCGGAGGCTCAAGGAAGGTTGAGTCGTCGGCGATGGTGACTGCTCGTTTGCGTTTGGGGACATGGTTGCGAGCGGTGGCGATTTCCATTGGCTCACTGTGTTTGTATTTCTTTCCTCCTTTTAGCTCAAAATTCTCATTTTTTGGTTCATTATTGAGTGATTAGAAATGGGATTGGATGGAAGTTCATTTGGAGTATTGGGTTTTTGTTTGTTCGGGGGGTTTTTATTGTGGTAATGGATGTTGGGGTGGTAGTGGAGGGTGGTGGTAGTGGAGGGGAAGATAGGTCGTTGTGGGCCTAAGTTTGGGTGGTTGTGGAGGTTGCGGTGGTGGTGATGACCGGTGAGTGGAGGTTGTGGTAGTGACTGGTGAGTATTGGAGAGAGAGAAGTATACATGATGTGTGTATATTGATAGAGGCTACTTTGGTCATTTTAGGTGGTCGAAGGGTAAATATGTACTTTTATCATGTTTGGGTTTCTTTATTCAGTTTGCTAAACTTGAGTGTGTCATTATCCAAAAAATGCCTAAGTTGTGTCTACCTATCTTTTAGGCAAACCTGAGGGGATGTCACTGCAATTTACCCACAAAAAAAAAAAGAAAAAAATAGAGGGATAGGTTATGTGTTTACTTGTTAGAGCTTTAGGTTAGCTTTGTTTGGAAATGATCTTTGATTGTATTATCTTATACATACAAGGAGACTTACATATATATACACAGTGTGTAATCCTAACTAGGAAGGAAATAATACAGCGAATGCAAATTACAAATGTGTACATATTTGCAATTTACAAATATGTACATATATGTAAGGAAATCATACATATATACAATGAATACAAATCACTTATTGACATCGTGATATGCTTGACCTTTTATCGTTTTTAAGAGCCTTCAAATTTCTTAGGGTGTTAATATATCATTTGTCAACATTTCCTAAAGGACTACAACTGCTAGTTCATTTGAGGTATTTATTAATTCATTTTAAGAATGAATCTTTTTGGCCATCAATAACCAAACTCTGGAAGCTAGAAACCCTTATTGTTGGAGGAGGACCAATAGGTTTTGTATCTTTCTCACTTGATATCCGGAAGGAAATGTCGACCTTTGGAAGGTTGCCTAACCTTGAGGTTCTTAAATTATCATATAAGGCCTTCGAGAGGGAACAAAGTGGGACACATGGGATGAGGTGTTTCATAAACTCAAATTCTTGAGGTTTCAACGCTTGGACAGACCATTTTTTTTTTTTTTGAACGCATCAATTAGCAAGGCCAACACCACAATTTTTTTAACGTATCAATAGATCTGCGCCGCTCAGCCACTAAGTATGCTTTAATTCTGCACTAGTCCAAGGACGGACTCTGTTTATTCACTTCGTCACAAATTAATACCATAAAAACGTAACTGTAAATGTCAATTATGTCAGCATTGAATGGCAAACAAAAGCATATGCTTTTTTGCGTTCACTTGAATACATCTATTCAATAAACACAATATAAATACAAGAAGACAATAGCAAGATGAAGTTCACCAAAGACCCTAATTCACATGGAGCATTATTAGTGCTCAATACATTTTATTGGAGAGAGAACTAAAAACGGAAGAGCAAGATTAAGGTCGACATTTAAACGAATAAAGGGTATATATGGTCTGCAAGAGAGTGAGAATTAGAAGCACAACGGCAGCCACGAATGATATGATTCTCCATGGATTGGAGAAGTAATCATTTGATAGTACGTTCATGTACCTGCGAAACCGGACGCCTGAGGATGCTTTAATTCTGTGACAATGCCACCAGGACTGACTGTATGCATCCACATCCTTGCATAACTTAGCAAAGCAGAACTCTTTCAGAACGACTTCCCTGCCCATTCTTTTGAAGAAAGCTGAAACATCTTCTTGACCACTATTACTCTGGGATGTTTTGATTATCTTCTTCTCCTCCAGTAACTTTATGTCATTTGGGGAAGCTATGAGATTTGTTGTGAGCATGACATACGATGTAATGTATTGTCTAACACCTACGCTGCATTGCTCAAAAGCAATGAGGTTCCTAAAGATTGTTTCCACCGTTTCATCGAAGCTAAACGGTGGCAATTTAATCACTCCTTCACTGAATGTTATGTCCAGTAAATCACTTTCCGCGTCATTGTCAATCACAATTCCAGCCTCTAAAAGCTCTGTTGCACAATGTTTGAATCCCCATGTATGATCACCGTCTTCAGAATTGATAACGGGTTCGAGAGATGATGGGCGGTAAAAAATGTGCAAGATTTCGAGTAGATGATTGGGTTTGTGTTTCTCGACTTTCTTTACCTCATTTGGATTGCAACCCGGGAGGAAAAAATGTAGAGCGTATTCAATGAGAGAAAATGGGAAGCTTTCGGCAACTGAGAGCGAGCGCTTTATAATCTCAAACAATTTTTCGAGAACAATAAAGGGAATTTGGTTCTCCAGTAGTGCCAAGTCATGTTTTACGGTTGGCATCATCCAAGCACCATTGATTACTTCATCGCAGCTTTGCTCATCCATTACTTCATCGCGGTTTTGCGAGTACCTGATAAGAAGTTCGAGTATGAAGCAGCCATCGACCAGCAAAATTTCCCTCAGCACATGCCAGGTCATGACAAGGTCTTCTGCATAGCATCCCGGAACTTGTAGCTTCAAATCTTCAATAGCTTTGCAACAATCATCTATTGTCTTTGATCTGTCAGTTGTTCGATTGAAAAGTGTTTGCATGTAACGCCACTTGTGCTCATCCATTTTTAGTAGATCTTCTCGGCGATTGTGAAAAGGTCCAACTGAAATGAGTCGTGGGCTATAGGCATCTGCATTGATGTTTCGGAGTTTTCTTGGAACCCTATAGATACTGAAGTTCGGTGGCCTTTCTTTTAAAACTTCAAGCGTTCCTTTAATGGATTTTGGCCAAGCTACAATGCTTTCTTCTTTTCTTTTGGATACAGAAGATCCGATATCTTCTTCTCCCTTTTTCTCTGATACAAAAGTTCGGACATCTTCTTGTTTTTCCGACGCAGTAGCTCCGATATTATTTTCCTCCCTTTTTTCGGATACAGAAGATCCTATATCTTCTTCTCCGTTTTTTATTCCGTAACCCAATTTTTCGGCGTAACGGGCTAACGTTAACAGTTCCGCTTCATCAATTTCATAAGCTCCGAATTCCTTATGCAATTTTGTTTTATATCCTTGAAAGCTGATCGCATCATTCGGTTTGCTACAAAATTAATTATTATATGATGAGAGAGAGTAAATAAATGGAACATACAAACAGCCTAAACAGGGGCTGCATCTTTTTTTGTCCGTAAATTTTTTTTCTCCTAAAGTATTTTCCTTTTCAGGTAAAATATATGTTAGAAATTTGGCGTGAATAGAACTTGAACTTGTTAATCAAGGAGTATATAACCGGAGTGGTGTCCCCATTGCTTTTGTGACATAAATAATCCATTAATAATTCATGAAGGGTGTTTCTGTAATAAAGATTTTATAAATTACAAGAAATTCCCACATGTGGTTATGGGTTAGAAAGTAAGGATAGCATGATTGAGACTTAAACTCACGTTGAATCATGACCAGAGTTTGGGTTATAAAGATTGAGAGAACATAATGTCGTTGAATGTTGGTAATCGGTTGAATTGTTGATAAATAAACAATGAAATGATTGTGAGATATATAAATAATCCATGAATAATTCATGTAGAGTGTTTTGTAATAAAGATTTTCTAAATTACACGAAATTCCCACATGTAGTTGATGATGGGTTAGAAAGTAAGGATAGCATGATCAAGACCTAAACTCATGTTGAGTCATGACCAGAGTTTGGATTATAAACATTGACAAAACATAACATTGTTGAATGTTGGTAATCGGTTGAATTGTTGATAAATAAACGATGAAATGATTGTGAGATATATAAATTTTGGAGAGATTATGAAAAATATATATTTTGTAATTAGCTAATTTCATTGTCAAAATAAGTCCAATCGAGTTATAATTTTTCGGTTAAAAATTTCAAGATTGAAGATCGGATGAAATTTGAAGAAGTTCAAGTGTTTATGGTTTAATATACTCCAGGATGATGAGAACAATGTTTTAGAAATGTACGTGAGTGTGTGAGAACACTTAGGAAGTTTCAGAAGTTTAAAGTTTTAGAAAGTTCACTTTTGTCCGTTGGGAATCGGTAGCCAATCCCCCTACTGGTTCAAGAATCACGTCGGATTCTTCTCTGCCCATTCTGAACTGGTAGCCAAATTCAGTACTGGTTTAAGGCTTCAGATCTGCCTAAATAACTTTAGTTTCCTGATCTGTTTTGATTTCTTTTTGGTCCAGACTTCCTTTTAAAATCCTATGAACGAATTTCACTTGTTTAACAAGTATTCTTAGGTCTTTTAAACTTTTATATAATGTCTCTTTCATTCATTATTGAGTTATGTCTTTAAAGAACAAAAATTCATTATTTTAAGGAAGCCTTTTGAGAGAGATTTTTTAGAAAATCAAATCAGATTTTTCTGATTTTATTTTTGAAAGCACACACAGATATACATGAGTGATTTAGTTATGTTATTCTCTATCTCATCGGAATTGGAGCTTAACTGGAGATTCAAAAATTCTAAATGAGTAGATTTATTTCTTCTACATCAAAGTTTAGATCTCGAAGAAAATAGGTAAAATGATTACACTTTAAAAGGGTCAAAGCATTCGAGAAGTATTGTTTGATCTACCAGTAATCCTTCTACAGAGATTAAAAGTAAGTTTGTGGTTAAGAACTGTTAGACGGGACGTTGCAAAGTCATAAGATTGTCAACGATTGGTGTTTGGTATAACGATAGGGTGTGAGCCTGAGTCAAAGTCCATTGTACTTTGTTTCAAACATAGTGGATCGGTTTACTTTGGTCTGCACAATCCATGAGGTTTTCCCATAACAATTGGTTTATTTTACGAATTGGGGTTTTCTCACTAAAAATCTTGGTGCAATCTCTCTAATTTTACTTTCTTTAATTTTCAGTATTTATCTTTGTGATTGTGGATATTTAATTATTCAAATTACTTACGTAATTTTATCATTTACAAAAATTGGGCAAGTTAACCTATTAATCTCATCTAGGTCATTAAAGGAATTACTCACAATAAAATCAAAACAGCTTCTGCACAATTGGCATCAGAGCAGGTTACTCGATATATTGAGTAAATCATATTTGTTGATTTGTTGTAATTTTTGCATCATGTCTGAAAATTTATCTTTTGTGAATGTGTTGCTTTACCTCCTGTTTTTGATTCTGTCACAAGCATGCATATTGAGTGGTCTAAGTTTAAAGATGATTTTGAAAATTTGTTAGAGAAATTGAAACTTGTGGAACTTGATAGGGATATTTATAAGTTAGAAATTTCTATCTCTAATAAAAATTTTGAAGAACTTGGCCATAAAAATTTGAATCTTTTTCATAAGGCTGATTTTCTGGAAAATGAGCTTGATCAGGTAAAAAGGTTTAATAAATCAGTTAAACTTAAATTTGATAATTTAAGTAGTGAGTTTGTTAAATCAAAACAGTCTTTTCAGAAATTTGATACTGACACTTGCAAAATAGATAAGTTGAAAGGAATAGTTAAGAATATTGGTAATAACAAAGAATTAGCTTCAACTTCAAAAGATTTGTATTTTCAAAAATCTAAAGAAGTTTTTGTGAAAGTTGAAATCAAACTTTGTGTTATCACTAGTTTTCACAAACTTATTTCAACATGTCATTTTTGTGGTGAAAAAGGGAATATCAAGTATAAATATCAGGTAAAAAAAAAAAAAAAAATTAACTTGGAAAGAAATTGAAAAATCTAGAGAGTTCTAATAAGAAAAAGAGAATGAAAAAGACTTCCGAGCCTTGTAACACTTTGCCTAAAATAATAGGGAAATCATTGTATAATGAATTTAAAATTGTTTGGGTAAAGAAAAAGAATTTAAAATAACTTGCCATGCACATTGCACTTAGAGCACTAGGTCCATGTGATTGGTACTTTGATAGTGGTTGGTACTTCTTCAATTACACATTGAAGAAGGAAATTTTAGCGTAATCAGAGATATGGGAGGACGGAGAGAAGACCTCGTCGGAGAAGGGAACAACCAAATTTCGATGTCCAAGACTCCAACGATCACATAATCGACGTTAGGCCAGAGCCCGAGGAAGTGAGGAGTGGGAGTGGTGTTTTAGTGGATGAGATTTGGGAGGACGGAGTGGAACATTGGAGCTCCATTGCCTGAGTGGTGTTTGTGCGATTCACAGAGAGTAAAGGGGGCAAATAGGAGAGGGTGGTATATGTTTCTAAAAAGGGTTCCACTAGTCACATGACACTTGGACTTGTCGGTATTAAGACAATTTTTTAAAGTGTTATGTTTTCTTTTATTATAAATAAGTATACTGCAAAGATCATAATTAAATTTCCTCATTCAATTATCAATACAATTATCAAATTTTCTATTTGAATTTATCTCTTACTATGTGGATTCAAAGTGTTTATCATTCCTTGTGAACAAAATTAGCTTCCGCTTACTTAGAAAAAGAGGAAGGAAACAAAGAGGGATGAAGCATCCCTTCTTTCTTTATGATTTTCTATCCACCCAATTTTGGAGGAAGAGAGGAGATATAATGATAACTACCTACAAAAATCTAATTTCTAATTTTAACATTTTAAAAAATAAATAAATAGATATTTACGTTTATAATTTTATACAAAGATTGGTAAAAATATATATATAAAAACTCTTTTTCTATTCCTTTCAACAAAAATAAAAAATAAAAAATAGTGTCACCCCATCCATTATTTCTACGATTCATTTTATTCAACCAAACAAAAAATAGGGAAGGCACTTTTCCTTCCTCGTAGGTGCCTCATCCATCCACCCCCGTCCTCTTCCATTCATTTTTCCATCCCTCCAACCAAACAAAACACACTAGAAATTTTGGACGAACTTTAATTCTTTTGATTTTTAATATTTAATAATTTTTAGTGAAAAAGTTTTTTATTTTACTTTTTTAATTTTTATGATTTTAGACGGTACCTAACTAAAACCAGATGTAGGGGAGAAAGCACTCCAACTATGTTTGGTAGGAAGAAAGGAAGGAAGAGGTGTGGAGAGAGAATATAAAAGAATGAACAAACTTCCTTTATTTGGAAGAGATGATACTCATGCTTACTCCTTTACAAATTTTCGTCTGCCCAAATTAAAATAGGCGGAAGAAAGGAGAGAAGACAAGTGCACTATTATAACAAGTTTTAAATTAAGTATTTTTGTAAAGTAAATAGTTTTAACTTACAGTATTATACTTTATTAATTACAATATTATAATATTATTAGATATAATGGTAAAAACAAATAAAACTTTCTCTTTCATTCTCTCCTAATGATTCAATGAACATAAGAAATTATTAACTTATTCTTTTTTCTTTTTCTTTTTTTCTTTTTTTTTTTCTTTTTTTTTTTCTATCTAACCGAACGAAAAATAAATAAATAAAATACACAATCTCTTCCCTAAAAATGTCTCACCTACTAAACAAACCATCAAACATGAAGCAAATATATATACCTTAAATAAAAACCAATTCAAGTAGTCCCCTACATTTTGGCAAACTAGATGAAGAAGGAGTGTGTGTGTGTGTTGGGGGGAGGGGGGGTGTTTCTATTTTTATATTGTTTAATTTCCCTAAAGTTAGAGTCTATTTTAGGAAGTTTCTCTGTTTGGTTGGAGGGAATGATTGAGGGGGGATGGATGAGAGGAGGGATGGATGAATATTTTCGTGTTTGGTTGAAAGGAAGAGAAGAAAGGGAGAAAACAAGGAGGGATGCTTCATCCCTCTTTCCTTTGTGTTTTTCTATCCGTCCACTTTTGGGGGGAAGAGAGGAGAGAAAGAAGGCATAACTACCTATGTATTGGTAATTTACAATTTTAACCTTTTCAAAAATTTTGAAATAAATATCTACCTTTTATAATTTTATATAAAAGGGTATATTGGTAAAAATAATATAAGAACTCTCCTTTCCTTCCTTCCAACTAAAAAAAAAAAAAAAAAAAAAAAAAAAAAAAAAAAAAAAATCACTCCATTTATCCTTTCTACTATCCATTCCATTCAACCAAATATAAAATGGGAAGACACCCTTCCTTCCCTAGGGATATCTCATCCATTCTCCTCCTATCTGTTCCATCCCTCCAACCAAACTAAAAGGATTTATTGTAACAGTATATGAATATAGAATTTAACTTGAAGGATTCTACTTTGTATCCATGCCCCCAAGGTCAACAGTGTGTTTTTTAGTTTCTATTTTTATATTGTTTAATTTCCCTAAAGTTAGAGTCTATTTTAGGAAGTTTCTATTATTTTAATTTGTTAACAGTTTAAGGATTTATTGTAATAGTATATGAATATAGAATTTAACTTGAAGGATTCTACTTTGTATCCATGCCCGGTGCTCCCTTGCCGTTCGTTCTCTGCTTGGTAAGAGAAACTTGTTATTGAATAGAAAATAAATTTAAATGGTGTAATAAAGTCATTTTGTCTGTGTTCCATTTTCTTCAAGACAAATGCTTTAACTAATAACATACACTAATTAATTAATAATAACTATACACTACTTAATAAGCAGACGACGACAACAATAACTATAAGACTATCCAGTCATCATATTTGTTTTTAGCTAATTTGAAATAACAAAATTGCAAAAGGCTATTTATTTATTTATCAACAACATGCTCACCTCCGGGAGATAGGCATTATATCTTGCTTCAAATCTCAAGTCTGATGGACCAGCTGGGGATCAATGATCGGAAGAGACCCGAAGAACCTTAGGATTGACGTCTGAGAGTGGGCCGGGATTGGGTTAGGGGTGATATTAATATATATATATACATATAAATATATATATGTAGGATGTTATAATAGGACTATGCTGGAGGAAAGAGTTTCACGACAACTCAGGTGGAGAGGCAAGTTTATAATGGTTCATATATATAATCCACACACTGAGTCACTGACACACATCTAGCTAGCTGACAATAACAACAACAAAATAAATAAATTAGTTACGAGGATTGTTAATTAATAGGTCATGAGATTTAGTACGAACTAAGACACATAAAATGAGAGAGCGTCATAACGGCATAATTAAGTCATAAGCATTGAAAATTTGAGTGAGAACGCGCAGAGCGTGAGAACGGGAGCATGTTCAGAGCGTGAAAGTCACACTTGCTGAAATATGTGCAGAGGCAGATTACAGTCAAAGGGTGGAATTAGAAATTTTTTATTTCGGTCAAATTAGTAATGTAAAATATAAATTTGAAAATAATATAAAATCTTTTTTTTTTTTTTTTTTTTTTTCTTTTTTTATGTATATTGGTAAAACGTGTTTATAAATAATATGGGATGACAATTTTAAAAAAGAGTTGCTGAGTGAATCAATTTTTTTTCCTCTCTAATTAATAACAAATAATATTTATGTAACATACATGTTATTATAAGCATTACTATAATAATTAATAGTTTCCTTTACTAAATTTGATTGGTTCATTGGGAATTTTTTTTTTTTTTTTTGATAAGTGATTGTTTCATTGGATTTGAAGGACAAGTCATTTCATATGTAACCCACCTTTAAAATCATAAGAGAACCATAAATAGAAAAAAATTAAAAAATTAGAGAATCCAATTTTAATTTTTATATAAAAAACCACTAATTATAATTTAGCATAAATAGAGTATTACAAAAAACTCGGGGGAACTAGCTTTAATTATTATGTACAAAATCACCCTAAATAATTAATTTAGTCCTATAAAAAAAATTGCAAAAAATTTGGGTCGCCCCCTTCCTCCACCCCTAATTACACCCCACCCCGTTTATAGCGGTTTTGGGGGACCGTTTAATTTATTTGGGTGAGGATGATTTTTATTAATGAAAACCCGTGCAGACCTCCCCCGCCCGTTTAGGTAGATAAATTACTAAATTTTTATTATTTTATTATTATATATAGTTAACTTTAGAAATTTTAGGTCACATTCACTCACTTTCTCAATCGTTCTAAGGAGCGACAAAATCCTACTAACTAAGAATGTTCATACTTTTGAAATTTATGTTAAATTATTGATTGTCTACTTTTATGAAACTTTTCAATAATTATATAATTGTATTTGACAATAAATTTTTTTTAAAAAGTAGAAAATTTGGAACTAAACAAAGCAGGGCGGGTGTCCGGGTGAAAAAGTTAAATGGGACAGGGTGGGTGGAAAAACTACCCCCTTCCCGTTTAGGCGATTTTTGGTGGGGACGGGATGGGATGAAGACACATTGTATCATGATGGCTACTAATTTGTTTGGTTTTTAATCACTACAATTAATTATTGTTACTTACTTAAAAAAAAAAAATTTAATTATTGCTCAAATAACTCTTTTTATTTATTCACTTTTTTATTATTATTTTTCTTTTTCAGAACTCTTTTTATTTATTTATTTACTCACTCACTCACTCTTAACTACCAAAAAATTAAAAATTAAAAATTAAAAAATAGATTGCTTAAGTTTAAAGAAAGCATCCTTCCCCAAAAAAATTGTTAAAGGAATTAAGCAAAAGTGTCTTGGGAAGAATTTAAGAAAGCATATATGTTGTACATATATTGTGCTTCGGAAATGATTAAAGAAAAGCATTTATACCTTCCATTGCCGACACCATCGAGATCTCTCAAGATTGAGACACCGTCACTCAAGAATTTTAAGGTAATTATATTGGCTCACCGCAATATAATATAATTACCAAAAAATTAATTTTCTTCTACTTACTTACACTTATGCGGCTATATTATAAAATTTTGTAATTTATTAATATATTTTTATAGATTCATTTTTTTCAATTAAATAGTCTGTATTTAATTGGTTCATCAAATATTAATGATCCAGAATCATTTAATAATTTCTCGACCTTATGACCTAACCATATGTGAGACTTCAAAGTCCTGAAATACATTTCTTAAATAATAATAAGGTAAAATTTAAAAAACTCCTCTAAACCATTGAAGTTTTGCGATTCACTGAACTGCAAGAAACCCTTGCAATTATGTTTTTGTTGCAATTAACCTCACAATGGTAGCTAGCTTCTGATGCCTATAATTGTAAAAGACCAATTTACCCTAATAAAAAAACTATGTAGTTACTTAAGTTGCTGACATGGAAAGAAAATCTCAAGAACCAATTATATTGTGACAACACACCAAGGGATAAGTAGGTCACACTTTTTCTTTCCCTTGTACCAATTATATTGTGACAACACACCAAGGGATAAATTCCTTCATATCTGCCGCAAGACCCATTTCATTCCCTGTTCTTCCCAGTCACTCCACCTTGTGTTTGAGAGAGAGAGAGAGAAGACGATTACTTCAATATCTTTTTTCGTTGCTGATTATTATTATTTTTTTTCTGCAATTTCGTTCTCGGTAAATTTTTAGTTTTCAACATTAAGGATTTTCCTCAAAATTAACAAATAGTTCATGCGAAACTGATCTGCTATCTTCATAAATCATCAAAAGTTTCAAGTGAAAAAAAATCTATGTTGGGTCGGTGCCTGTATATATATATATATATTTATATATATATTATCTTTTCAGGTCGAGGTTATGGACAAGTGCATTGGATATGGGTATATAAAATAACTTGTCAAATTTGATAATAAGTTTTTTCAAGTTTTAATATTTTTTTTCTTCATAAATATTATATAATAACCAAACACCAAAAAAATAAAAAATATATATCTTTTAAAAAATATTTTACTTCCAAACAAACCGAGCCTTTATTTTCTTTTTTATTTTATTACTTTCCCCCGCCATATAAATTTAATTTTACTAGACAAAACACTATGTATAAGTAGATGCAGGGATGAAGCCATGAATTTATTTATTTTTTGTTTTCCTAGTTACCATGAATTTATTTCAATGGGGCACGACTAGAGATTTTTGAAGGTGAAAAAAAGAAAAAGAATTTGATGAAGAAGAGGAGTATAATATATATATTTGAAGGGAATTAAAGGAATTAGAAGAAGAAGGGAATAGAGAGATTTTTACAAAAGATTTTTTTTTGGGGTGGGGTGGGGTGGGGTGGGGTGGGGTGGGCGCACTTCTTAATATTTTATAATACGGGGCCCAACCACTCCCCGGGCTTTCGATACAAGCGAAACAGAAGGAGAGAAATGGCCAACCAAAGAACAAAACAAAGTTGATATAGAACTGATTGCTCCTACAAATGGTTGGTCACGAAAACTTTCAATTTGTCTTGATAATATAGAAATTGAGATTTTTAAAAAACACAAAGTATGATTGTTCATTGGTAAGGGATACTACATACTAAATACCCCTTATATATTATAGACTTTCTTCGAATATTGATGATTATGCATAAGGCTGCAAATGAGTTGAGCCGAGCCGAGCCGAGCCGAGCCGAGCTTGGGGTTGTTCGGGCTCGGCTCGCCAAAATCAAAGGCTTACTCGAGCTCGGACTCGGACGAGCTTAGCTAGGGTATGTTCAGGCTCGGCTCGTCCTTGTTTGGTTAGGCTCAGCTCAAGCTCTTATATATATATATATATATATACAAAAACATGCGTATATACACACAAAAACAACTCAAGATTTGTTTATATATGTACACACAAACTTAGAAGATGAAAGTCACATGGTTGTCGATCTCCGTCAACACCTGATTCTCAAACATTGTTTGTGTTCTGGGTTGGTGATGTGTATGGCACTTGTTGGTCTTCTTCAAAGTTGAGACCAGGATAAAAGAGAAAGAGTCAGAAGATAGAGAGATATTTGAAAGAAAAATGAAAGAGAAAGAGTGAGAAGACGGAGAGATATTTGAGAGAAATAATCCATAACTAGTGTGACAGGAGGCGAAGTGTGGATGCAACAATTAGGTTTTAAATGAAAGTGAAGTGAATTGGGTAAATGTTGTCCTAAAGTTTGTTTAGGGCCGTTGAATTTTAATGTAATCTAATGGCTCATTTGGTATTGGTTTTATGTGCCTTAACAAGTAGGCTTAAAACATAAGGAACTTTTGTTGGGTTTTAATCAAATTAATTCATGTAGAAATCAAGAATACTTTAATTAATTAAAGAGTAATTTAGACTCGTACTTGATTGATGATTAACGCACATATACCTTTAGAATATTCATGTAATCCTCTGTGAGTTCCTGTAAAACAGTAGAGTGCTTTACACCCTTCTGAGAGTTGTCGATATAATAGGTCTGAATAAGGGTTTTAAAACCCTAATATATAACAACAACAGGGGGGGACGACTTCTCTACAAACAAGCATATCTAAGTCTCCCTTCCTATGATGGAAACTTAGATATCAATGGTTAGAAATAAATCACACCAAATAAGTTAGAAAACCACAATCCAACGGTATAAAAACCATACTTCCAATCGGACCACCAAATTGGAAACTACAAACCGAATCCATCAAGTATCAATAATTATATTGCAATCCTACTTTAGAAAACGCAGTGCATAAGACCATAAAATATTTTTTATTATTTAAATATACATATAAAAATTCTAACAATCTCCCACTTGATCCATGCACTCTAAGTTTTATAAAATGACACTATGGATTGCAACACACTTTATAAAAGTTGAGTGACCACTCATTTTTATTTAGAAAACATAATTATTGAAATTGATGGATTGAAACTTTAGAATACTCTCCTTTATAAATTTCCTCAATAGTGGATCATGAATGCATAGGCAAGTAATATATTAGTCTAAACAGTTCCATGGTCTCAAAACCGATTCCATCTAGGATTCAAGCAAATATAGTGGTTTTTACTGTATTTTATGAGATGTGCAAACTGCATATGGTCTAAACACACACCTTACTATCCGTCTTGCTTCATACCATCGTGGTATGTCACCTAAACATATTACAATA